CACACACACACACACACACACACACACACACACACACACACACACACACACACACACACACACACACACACACACACACACACACACGGATATTTTCCCAAAAGGAGGAATCAGATTTGTTTTGTCTCTCCAGGACGACTTCCTCCCTTCTTTTATCCGTCAGGTGCTGTGTGTGGATTGGCTCGCTGGGTGTTATAATGAGCGCCAGGGTTCCTGTTGAAAGTAGGAATAAGGGATAAACGGTATGAATGGTTTTGTTACCTGCTGCTAAAACACATGTTGGGAAACACTTCCTCTCCGTGCAGCTGATACAGGACTGATTTTGTTCAGATTTCTACATTGTTGGATGTATTTGTTTAATTAAGGTTAGTCGCTTTAGGGCATTACGCTATATTTTTTTATTTGATTGATGGCTTGAATGCTTTGTGTTACATGTATTATATCAGGTATTTCTGATGTATTTCCTTCATATGATTAGTTTTTTTTTTAATACAATAGATTTATGTTACGGATGTAGAACAAAAAATGATTTGTAATATAGTCATGTGAAATTCCCAATGGAAGGCTAGGGACCCGCCTCAAAGGCTTGTGTAGATTGATAAACAGGGCCAAGCAGTCGGGGGCCCCGGACCCCTGTTGAAGTGACAGTATTTCCTGTTGCAAGGTAAATCCAATGCCATATAGACACTGAAACTACCACAGAGACATGCAATGACAAAGACATGTACACTACCACAAAGTGGCGCAAAATGAATACAAAACACATACAATTACTACAAAGACATACAAAACTAACAGATATAAATGCAAAATGAACTAAATGACACTCGAGATGAATCCTTTCACTTGCCTGTCTCTTCTCTCCGTGCAGCAAACTGGATCAGTTGTTTCTTTAGCCTCCTGGCTACTACTGCCATCTACTGGTGAACACATGTAAACCCTTCTTTGAGGTCACTGCTGACAGACAGGAAGTGGACCTGGGTTAGGGTTGACAGGTTATATGAGTAGGACCACATTCTTCTGCTGACACGAGGAAGTAGATTAACTCTCAGTTACTCTAACTGCTGCAATTTTGTTACTAACTCTACACATGTAGTGGTGCTGCTGTTCCTGTAAGCCATTCAAAAAAACATTTGAATCATGTGGAAATTAGATTTTCTTTTTTTGTACAGATATTGAATTTAACTATGTCAAATAGTATTTGACTTTTTTAGACATTGCTGCCAATGTGCCAAGCTCCACTGACAGTTTTGTTATGATTTGTTTTCTTATTGTAGTGCACACAAATGTATAGGAATCAACTTAATGGTGTAGATTTGTTTATGTTTACGATATCTATATAGGTTGACTTTATTGCTTACTTGCTCAAAAAGTGTTCATTTATGATTCAAAGTGTTTTTATTAGATTTTGTGATGATGTAAATAAGGAGATTCATGATGAGTGAGTTTACTGTCTCATGTAAAAGGGGAAAATTGACTGCTGCTGTTTCAAATGGACATTACATTACATAATATGACATGGTACTCGTTAGATGCTTTTATCCAAAGCGACTTATATACTCAATACTGTGGGCAATCCCCACAGGAGCGATTTGGGGTGAAGTGTCTCAGGGACACAACGACATGCTCTGTAGTGGGACTCGAACTTGCTACCCCCTGATTCGAAGTTCAGCGCACCCTCCACTGAGCCACAGCCTCCCACCAAGGGCTGAGTCCTGATGAAGGAGCCATATTAATGGGACTTTTAGCGGTTATTTGATTCCTGCTGCATTCACATTTAGTGGGAATTTGAACTGAACAAACATGCATTTTGAGTGTTCTCGAGTGAGGGAACAATGGAGCGTGAGATGGGCCGGAGAATCGGAGCGGTACTGCAGTCGCTTTACCGCACCGTTGTGACGAAAAGGGAGCTGAGCCAGAAGGCAAAGCTCTCTGTCTACCGCGCCATTTTCGTTCCTACCCTCACCTATGGTCATGAAGGATGGGTCATGACCGAAAGAACGAGATCGCGGGTACAAGCGGCCGAGATGGGTTTTCTCCGCAGGGTGGCTGGTGTCTCCCTTAGGGATAAGGTGAGAAGTTCGGTCATCAGGGAGGGACTCGGAGTTGAACCGCTCCTCCTTCGCGTCGAAAGGAGCCAGTTGAGGTGGTTCGGGCACCTAGTTAGGATGCCACCTGGGCGCCTCCCTAGGGAGGTGTTCCAGGCATGTCCAGCTGGGAAGAGACCAAGGGGTAGACCTAGAACCAGATGGAGGGATTATATCTCTTCGCTGGCCTGGGAGCGCCTTGGGATCCCCCAGTCAGAGCTGGTTGATGTGGCCAGGGAAAAGAAAGTTTGGGGCTCTCTGCTGGAACTGCTACCTCCGCGACCCGACCACGGATAAGCGGGAGAAGATGGATGGATGGATGGATGGTAATATTAGTAATATTAGTAATATAAGTAGTATTAATAGTAGTAGTAGTAAAGTGTATATAACCGCCAAGGCACACAG